TTAAGCAGCTACGTCACAGCTCAAGCGAGAAGGAGACAGCAGATCGTATGTCTGCCCTTCTCTCCCCGCTCAAAGCTTGCTGAGTGCCGAGTCAGCCGACTGGCATATCCCCTCCATCTGAGTAGTTCGAACACGAACCATGTGTGTACCGTTACCGAGCGTAACGACGTAGTTGACGTCCACTTTCTCAGGCGGCGCGTCAGTATACGTCCGCTGGAACGGAATGATCCCGGTGGCCGCTCTCAGGTTTCTCTCTGGTGGATATCCAATTATTAAATACTTAGGCTGAGTTTTCACTGAGCGCGTCACGCGTCGCGTCGTCTGTCGTTAACCAATCTAAACATCCCGTCACAAATAATGTAATAAAATAAGATGTTTTGATTGGTTGCGATGAATGACGCGGCGCGTGACGCACTCAGTGGAAACTCAGCCTTACAAGTGAAAAAAGAGATATTGCTCTCTTTCTTGTAACACACAATTTACAAGTACCTACTATCTTTTTAGAGTGAACTACCTGACGCGATTAAGCATATGTACACAATTGTCGGCGATATTTACGTTATTGGGTGCATCCAGAACCACGACCGCTTTGAGCCGCTAGTAGTAATTAAGTGTGATTGGTCGGATCCAAAGGTAAGAACCAATCACATTCAATTGCTACTTAGCGGCTCAGTGAGCGGTCGTACTTCTGGATGCCTCTATTCTTGAGCATATGCGCTTCGTACAGAAACAAGGAGATAGAAAATATCTCTTTCTCTTTCTTTATTCTCTCTACGTATAATACAGAGAGATAGAGAAAAGGCATCTCTATGCATATAAACTCTTTGTGGCTACGGTCCACAACACTACAAATGCTTCGAAGCATTCTTCTCCTTTCTTTCAATGAAAAAAGTAGAAGAAAAAAAACGCTTTAAAGCATTAAATGGACCGCAGTCTGTGTCCAATAAGAAAGTATGTTTTAGGGATTTTAGCTAGAAATATTTCTTATTCCTAGAAAGCAAGTATTCTTATTGGACATTGGACACTTTTAATTTGTTGTATTATTTATAAAATTTATACTATGTATATTTACTATGTATTTTTTTTTAGGCAACATTTTCAGACTAGAAATAAAAAAATAATTTAAATAAGCATATTAGGCATGATAAATATATGAATAAAATTTCATAGAAATATGTTATATATTGTCTTAAATGCACATATACACTTTTACAAAACATTAGGATATGTTATAAAACTAATATTGCATCCAGACGTTTCTTTTTAATATCGAATAAAGTAATCTTCCAATCATTCAAAAGCCCATTGGATCTACTTGGGGATCATAAGATTTATCAATGGTTGTGCATCTATCGAAAACATAGTTTAAGCAATTGTGGCATTCGAAATTACGTGCATACCCATTCTTCGTTTGTGCCTACAGTTCATGATTCGTCATGTTTTTATGGTTGGAACGCATGTATCTGGTCACGTGGATTTGATTTTTCATCGTTTATGAAATATTATTTAATTAATTCGTCGTTAATATAATGGAAAATGGCCAACATCGAGATTCTTGCTAATATTTTATCTACTTTTGATGGTATTCGCTCGCCAGAACAAATAAAAAGGTTAGTAAAATATTACGAAATTCGATGTCATTTAATCGTTAACCTACGATGCTCCGAAATGAGAAAAATAATTTTTATTACCGTAAAAAAGAGGGAAAAGTAATAATAAGAAGTACAATGCTACAAAAATAAAATTTTATAACAATTTACACATTAAATACAAAATGAAAGTTTGCACGTAAACATAAAAAATTGAGCGAAAATCTGTTTTGAGATCATAATCTTTTTTTCAATTTCAGTGGAGAAAATAAAATCGACGTAAGCTTTTACAAAGCCGTTACAAAGAATGTTTATGATTTTGCCAAGGAGCTATCCTGTAAAGAGGAGAAATTTTATAGCAATACGAATGCATTGCCAGAATTAGTCACAGAAGGCTTCGATGAGGAGCAAATTTGGCAGCAATTGGAACTGCAAAACGAGGGCGAGATAGCACACTTCTTAGATAAAATCCCAACAATTTTATCTGAAAGTAAGAAATTGGTGGTTCCGGTGAGCTCTAAAAAGCCTAAATCTATACAGATTAAAAATGACAATTTAGATCAAGAGGATGAAGGCATGTCCGAGGAGAAAGACTCAGAGGACGAGGATGTAGAAACTAAAAGCAATTCAAAAAAGAGAAAACATAAAAAGTCCTCCATTGTAGATGACAAATTCTTCAAGTTACAAGATCTCGATGAATATTTAACTAAAGAAGAGAGAAAAGAGAAACAAGGAAAGGAAAATACTGAATCTGACGACGAATCAGTAGATTTATTTAACGATGATTCCGAGGAAGAAGATGGAGATAACGCTGAAAAGAAATACATAAAGTATGCAGATTTCTTCGATACTCCCGAAAGTGAGAATGAACAGGCTTATGAAAGTAAAAATTTAGATCACAGTATTAATGATTCTGAAGAGGGAGAATTAGAGGATGAAGAGATGGATCTTGACGAAGAGGACGAAGAGGATCAAACAGTCAGAAGAGTGAGATTTAATCTTACTAATGACTCAGATGAGACAGATAGCTTGGAGAATAAAGTGAATCATAATCAGAAGGATAAAGAAGAAAAGATGGAGGAAGACATAGCGCCGAAATCCACTTTGGAGTCTCGTCAAGAAAGGCTGCAAATGAGAATTAAAGAATTGGAAGAGGAAGCAGTCAGTGAGAAGCCATGGCAATTGAAGGGCGAAGTAAGTGGTCCAAATCGACCGCAGAATTCCTTGCTGGAGGAGTTTGTGATGGTTGATATAAATACAAGGCCAGCTCCTGTGATCACCGAGGAGACTACTATAAAGCTGGAAGATATAATCAAGCAGCGGATTAAGGATAAGGCTTGGGACGACGTCGAGAAGAAGTTCAAGCCAGTCGAGACACCGTTGGAATATAAGAAAAAATTGATACTAGATCAAGAAAAGAGCAAGGAAAGCTTATCGCAAATTTACGAAAAGGAATATCTGAGGCAAAAGCAAGCGTTAGATCCAGAGAACAATGAGAAGAAAGAGGAAATGCCACAATTGCATAATGAAATTCGACAAATGATGCGTTCTCTAGTCTCTAAATTAGACGCGTTATCTAATTATCATTACACTCCCAAGATGGTAAGATTTGTCATGATTTACGTCAAAAATTAATCAAACTTATAGTTAGTAATAAGTATTCACAATCGAAAGTAATCGTTCTGAGATAAATGTTTCTAAGTTTCCTTGACTTAGAGACTATCCTTGCAGTTTGTATAAATAATTTTCTACTCTCATTACAAAATTTTTACATTTTGAGGTACTCCTTATGGTTCCTAACGTTTATAATATATGTGATTTTTATTTCAGGCTAAACCAGAAATTAAAATCATTAGCAATATACCTGCAGTTAACATGGAAGAGGTGGCACCTGTCGCGACCACTGATGCTACTCTATTAGCACCTGAGGAAATTAAAAGTATTTATCATATTATATTTAATATGGTTATCGTTGATTTATGATACAGCATTTTTAAAATTTTATTTATAATTCCTATTTTCAGCCAAACCACGCGGCAATCTTATCGGTAAATCAGAACGGACGAAAACCGATATGAAGCGCGAGAGAAGGCGAAAGAAGTCGAGGCAGGGTGCTAAACAGCAGGCAATAGAAAAGAAGGAGAAACTCAAAGCATTACAACCAGGAATCGCTAAAAAGTATAAGGATAAGAAAGAAAAGGCTGCATTGCTTAAAAAATTGACGAAGGATAAAAATGTTACAAAGTTAAACGAAACAACGCACAAAGTCGCGAAGTCCTCTACTGCATTTTTCACGCAATTGCAAGATCAAGTAAAAAGTAAAATAAAAATTAAAAAAGACAATTTGTCCAAGAAAAATACTAGCGCTGCTTCGGCTGTAAAGTTAAAATTGTAAATTATGTAGTTTACATTTTTAAATTTATTTAAATAAAATTAAAATGAAAAATTTTGTTATATTTTTCATCATGCGCTTTGAAGATTTCATGCTGTTTGTTTATTATATCTTGTTGCCTCTTTTTGTGCCATCATTGATTATAATCGCAAAGGAAAGTAACTAGCGAGAATTGACTTACAGCGATGTAAGTCCCTTACACTCTGCGTAATGTAAGATACATATGTACACTAAAGATATTTTTTTATACCTTTATTGCATGATATACGTATGCATTTCTAACACCCTTCGCTCTTTAAATCATATGAATCGCGATTTCTCGTGGAGCTATAATACGTGGGTGGATATTGTGCAAAGGAATATATAACAGTGGATAAGGGATTTGTGAAGTAATCTTTTCCTTTGATAGAGACGAATTCATACTTAACACTCGCATATAAATATTGACACCTGCACCAGGCCCAATATATTAATTATTGTCAAAAAGTGATGGTACTCTTCTCGTCACGATGTAGGATGATTAAAAAAAAAATCATGCGTATATGTATAGTTCATATATGTATTAGTGAAAAATGTTCCCAATTCATCATGATATGCTGCAATTTCGTTTCAATGTGCTTGTCAAAATTTGCTAAAACACGTACAAACGCGCTAAGTCACACGTGGTTACTTATAAATGCAATTATTCGTATGTGTAACATTATCTATATTTTTTTCTTTAAGAATATCTAAAAACGGTGTCTTGCACAGAGAAGCAAAGGTGGATTACGCAATTTTTGTACATTGTCAATGTCTCGAACGATTTCTTATCGTGTCTTGGTTTATGATTGCACTGTTTATAATTACAAAGATCTAAATTAAAATAATTAAGCTAACCTTACAAATCTAACGATAAGCTGGTATTAAAATTACCGTGATTTGTGTATAGATTTCTGATTGAGAAGTTTTTTAAAAATACTTTTTCTTATTGTTTAGAGTACACTTCTGTTATTTTCATTTTTCTTTTTCTCCGTTAAGTATTTATCGAATCGCATGATATCTTAAAATTCTCATGAAAATTAAAATTATGTCACTTGATTTGTATAATAAGCACAGATGCTTAAATATGTTTAGAATAGCTGTAATAAGGCCATGAATATTCATCTATAGGCCATTCACTAATCAATCAACTTTATAAATAGCTTTCACCGCCAGGAGTAGATTTGATAAATCTACTCATTGGAATTAATTTTTAAAATTTAAAATTTAATTCCAGACTAATACAACTGTATAAATCATTGAAAGCATTTATCAGTTACTAGTATCTTCGTCGGTTGCGCATTTCATTTCAAATGTAAAATTTATAAATGTAAAATTTTATTTAATATTTAATAGCTTTATGCCAAATGTAGATAGCCCATCTGTGCGCATTATAATTCATTTCGAGCACTAGTCAATAATCGTCATGAAGATACAGTCGCCTTTTAATAGTATTTTCGCAGCGAAACCATGCTCATCAATTTAGATAATTATCTTAAACAACCAGAGCACATAACGCGACGATCATACCTGGTAGCTTCTGATATCCATGACAATGAATCAAAAACCTCTCATTATAATACGTATGTATAATATGTAAATAATCCGGTAGACTAGGCTGTCCTAATCCCAGTGCGATCGTTTTTTGCGTAAAGTCTATATATGCAGTGCTAAATTGTTAAATCGCGTTTCTCTTTTCTCCGTGAACAATCCGCCGGATGTTGACGTGGTACGGATGCCCAAGATCAAATCCCCGAAGTGATACTGAACAGCCGGGGAAGGCCCCGGAGAGAGAATTCCTCTAAAGTAGAAGCTGCTTCTCAGAGGCATACCGCCTTTCTCGTTGCTACTCGAAATTAGTGTTGAACATGTTCAGTTCCTCGAAGCCGGACGAGCCGCCTTGATCTTGCAGCATCTGCAGCATGTCAGACAGCTCTTGCGGTTGTGTGCCGGGCCCGGCCTGTCCAGGATGTGGTGGTTGAGCCTGTGCGGGCACCTGAGGGCCGGTCTGTCCATCCGGTTGCTGCGTTTGATGTTGTTGACTTTGCCAACCCCACATACCTAACGGCAAACGTACATTTAATTTTCGAATTCGAAGTATAGGCTTCAATGGAAATACACGAATATAGAAAACGTACTAACTAAAAATCAAGCGCGGTAAATGATGCGTGTTTGATGAAAGTTTTATTATCAATTATTAATTAATAAAACTTTCGCGCATCATTTATCGCGTTTGGTTCTTAGCCCGTTTTCTATATTCGCGCATTTAATTATTTGCAATTTTGCATGATATCTGGAATACATAGTGTGGTGACCATGTGTGCCCTTACCTACATGGCACCACACTAAACAACCGTGCGCAGGTGAAAACGCACTTTCTCGCGAGCGGTTGTTTAGTGCGATTCGCAGAGAGTTGCATAGTATTTTTGGGGACTCATACAACACGCATTCCATCTACACATCTCACCATCATCCACGACTACGCTATTCCCAAACATAGCAACATCAAACGACTAACCAGGATTATTAGGCACTGTTGTGACTGCATGATATTGCTGTGTAGCCGGAGTTCTAGCGCCGCTACTGAGTTGAGTGTACGTCGGCCCGCTCGGTGACCTTGATGGACTTAATTGACTGTATTGGTAGCCCTCTGTCACAGGTTGCTGTTGGAAAATGTAGTAGAAGTTTTAGATATTTGTAACTTTTCGAATCCATTGAAAAACGAAGAATCAAGTACCTGTCTTCCAATCGCCCATGTTTGCGGAGTTGGAGATGTATTAGCCGGCTTTTGAATCCTACTTAAGACTGATGAGGACGCGCTTTGTTGTCCAGGTGACCCATAAGCAATCGGCGACTGTGTCGTCTCGTAACTCTGATATACGTTCTGTGTACTGGACGGCCTTGGTTGTTGCGGACCTGCAAATGACATGCATTCAACTATTTGACTGTGCAATAAAAATAATGAGAGCAAGCGTGGCCTAGCAGACAGCGCACTGGTCTGCTAAGCCAAAGATCTCAGGTTCGAATCCAGTCCTGGTAGAATCAAAATAAATTGTATGGCTTGTCTCTCCTCCTCGACAGAATGGCAGCCCGTCAGGAGTATCCCTTGCCTCGAAACCCCCTCTACCTTGCCGTTCAGATTCGGCGTTAAACTGTAGGTTCCATGTGCTTGCGTGCGCACCACAAGCACATGACTTTGGGGGAGGCCTAGGTCCGACTCGGACTGTTGCGTCATTAAAAAAATTAAAATAAAAATAATAGAAAATACGCTGTAATCGTCTTACTGGCTGTAGCTACAGTGGCTGGATGCTGCATCATATGATGCGCGGAGTAGAGCGGATCCCTGGTAGGATGTCTCTGAAGGGAATAATCTAGACCAGGTTGTCCATATGCAGGTACAGCTTCATTCTCCGTTTGACCGTCGCTACTAGGATGAAATGGCCTGAATAAAGACATGTGAATATTTTTTTTCCATGTGAAACAAAGGGGCAAGAACCATAATACGAGATATCTTTGAAGCTTTAGATACAGCTTTATTCTTACTTTGCTAGCATGTTTGTGCAGACGATATATTCAAAGTTTTCGTCGAACGGATTTAAGAACGCAAATGCTGACGTCCTCAACCACACCCAATTGCGGTCCTTAGCCCGAAATCTGTACATCACAGACAAGAGTTGCCCTTTCAGCTTCAACACTGGAAACAGTTTCATAACTGAAGGCACATGTTAACATTGTTAACATGCCATTAAAAACATAAAAAAAATTAAAAAAATATAAAAAAATAAAAAAGGAACATTTAAAAAAGAACATGAAAATGTGAGGCATAATGCAGAGCATTACCTTGTTCAAAAGTGTCCCGCATATGTGTCACATCCTCATGATGGAAAAATTCGTAGCAAGGATGACCTAAGAGCTCCGATGGATTGTAACCCAAAATTCCGCACACTCTTTGATCAACAAAGGTAAATTTACCTTCTGCGGAGTGACGTGACATAAATTCTACGACAAACAAAAACATAATTTATGAAACTATAACTAGCCTCTGCCTGTACTGATGGATAAAATTAATTTAATTTAAACTTCCAATTAAATTGTTAATAAGACGATACTTACCGTTATTGCTATTGGAACCTGTTAAGTCGCTACTATTTGGTGTGCTAGTGACCTGTAATCGCCCAATGGCGACAAGGCAGCAATGCGTGGAGGCATTCTCATCTGTGACCACGCCGTCTGGACCAGTTTGAACACCCCCAGAACCTCTGTCACCTAGACCCACACCTGGTACACATGGGGGAACAAAATCACCTACAGCGTAAAATCATGAATCAGTCCATGATTTCCCGTTGATCGGCTTGAAGAAATTCTTATACTAAAACTATACGCTATATATCATAAATATTTCATACTGATATATCGACATATCAAAATAACAGTCAACAGTAATTTAGGATTATAACTACATATTGAAAACTATATATTGAAACTATATATTAAAATGTCAAGACGTTATAATAAAAAATCGATATCGTACTTTTTGAAATTCGAAAGTTGCAAAGCGGTCGATTTATTGCGCCTCTGTCGCATTTAATGCGCGAGAGGTGTCGCTGTATCTTTCTTTTTTAACGTAACCGATAAGATTGAATTAATCTGCGGCTGCTACAAAGCTATCGATGGAACAAAAAGAGCTACGCACGTGATCATGAATATTAAACAAATATGTTAACAGCCGATAACTACCTCGCCGCGACTCTTAATACTGACGACTTTCCACTCACAATCATCGGTTAAACGAATTATTCTGAAGGGACAAGTATTTCAAATCGGAAAATCTGAGAAAAGCGTCTGATAATTCTTTCTTTTCTTAGTCTTTCTCTTTCTTTATCGGTTAGATCTATCGTTTGAACATGCAAATGTTCTTTCAGTTTCTGCGTTACTACGTTCCACAACGACAGTAAATACGTTCAATTAAATACGGAATATTTTTGACGAAAGACGTAGAGTCGAAAAATTCAGTCACGGCAACTCTCGAGGCGGTTCTTAATTTACAGTATACACGTGGCATACGCGTTCCGCCGTGTTCCAGGAACGGTTCGTTCGTATTCCTCGGGCGCGACGTCTCCCCCGCTTTAAAATAGAAAGCCGGGGCCTGCTGTACGTCGCGCCCGAGAAAGAGAGAGAGAAAGAAAAAGACCACCGTTACCCGGTGGTGGCACATCGACGTACGATCTTGCGTTCTCTCAACTCGGCACAGACGAAACCCGTGTCAAACTCACCGGTGGGTGGCCAATTCTTGATGTATCCGGTGCAGTGCACCACCGCGTAATTCTGGCCGTCCCGCGCCGGCGGTCCCAGGGAGTTCCTTTGCTTCATACGGTGCAGCCCGTGAGCCGCTGCCATGTCGCCCGTAGTCTGTAGATTCCCGACCTTCATGCGGCAGATAAAGCCCCTTCTTGAGCCCATACACAATCGCATCGACGCTGCAATTGGAAAAGTAATCGTTTCATCCCGCGAGCATATTTTTCCCAAGTACGGCGAGTATCTTGATCGGTCGTCTTGAATAATAAACTCTGAGAAACCGTCCGAGTAAAATCGTCTAATAATAAAATAATCTAATAATAAAATAATCTAATAATAAAAATAATAATCTAATAATAGAATAATCTAATAATAAAAATAATAATCTAATAACAAGATGGCTCAACGAAATGGAAACTCTGCAAAATTGTCGAATAATCGACTGATAAATTTGTTTCTTTACTTACATTGACCTTCCTTTTTGACCGTTCCGGTCTTGAGGTCCAACACTCGGCCACCGTGCTGCGGCTCCGCCGCGCTGAGCTGCTCCCGCACCTTCTCGGTATCGTCGGGATGAACTTGCGAATAAAGGCTGGTGCCAAACCAATCGCTCTGGGTGTAGTTCAACACCGGTGCGACCGAGTCGGACACGTAGATGATTCTGCCCGTGTCGCAACTCACGACGAACAGGAAACCATCCGCCGCTTCGAGGATCAAGTGCTTCAGCTCCTGATCCGTGAGGAATGACGGCTTGTAGGCGTTGTCCGTGGCGGTATTTCCGGTGCCTGCGACACATTCCATTTCGCTCTGACAACATTCGTCACGACGACAGGATAACGGGATTTATAGAGAATAATCCAGATATGTCCTATTCGGATTTATTACAAGTTTTATATACGTTGGATACAGTTGGATTTATTATGAACGTCATAACGATATGTCCGATTTATTGACTCGTTACAAGTGCTTTGATTATACGTGGAAATTCGGTTCTTTCGTATTAACGAAGTACTTCTAAAATTATCGGTTGAGCAGTCTTTGAGAGGAAAGAATTCGACACTAAATTCATCGAGGAAGAAGGCGATGCCTTCTGAAGCGTGATCCAAACCTTGAAGAGCACTCTGCGAATTCCTAAGCAAGTCGTGTCCTATCGAATATTGAAATCGCCTCTCAATAGCTTCTTCCAAAGTTGACCTCCGAAGAGACGCGAAGACCGCGGCGCGGTACCAAAAATGAGGACGGGGCACCTCGCCAGCGGAGGTAACTATCGAGGTGCAAGATCGGAATTGCAAAGCGGACGGCGGATCCTAAGAGAAAGAGAGAGAGGCAGAAAGAGGTGCGAGGGAAAGAGAGAGAGAGAGAGTGGCTCTCTCGCGCGGCGATGCGATCTTTACCCCGATATACGGAGAAATTCCGGGAAGAGGTACTTTAACGACTTCCAAACAAGATCTATGGAAGACCCTCGGTGACCTTCGTTACCATTATTTTCCACGTGGTATATATCTGGTCCGACGTTACCGCCGTGGTTACCTTGACACCTTCCGCAAAGAGAATTTGTATACAGTTTCCGTCATTCATTATTGATGATTTTTAAATATCAAATCTTTATACAATTAAATGCCTGTTTTCAAGAAATTTAGAAGAACTAAATTTAAACACCGTTATACAAGCGTGTAGGTACCGTTATGAACAAAAAAATTGCTCTTTTTTTAACGAGCCTCGACATGCACAAAAAAACGAGGATAATTGCACAATTATTATATTCAGAAAAAATTGTCGTAATCTTTGATAGATAAAACAGAAAATAAGATAAAATAGAAAAAATCATGAGATTATATACAGACTTTAGTTTTTAAAATATAAATTTAAAATAATAATACATAAATATACATATTCACAAACGTATAATAATTCGAAAAACATTTCAAATTCATGAATTTTTTCCCCGTAATAATGTGAATATTTACGCAGTTAAAAAGATTTCGTTAAATTGAATCAATAAAAAGATTCGCTCGAGATCGATGTATGCTCGATACATCCCACATTTTTAGTATGCAATCTCACGTTGGTAGCCGTTTAATTTCCATTTCTAGGCGTTCTAACGCACCATTATATTTTAACGTTCAACAACAACTGTGATCGACGGGATGTCCAGCATTCCTCCTACCGTTATTTTCAATTTTTTCGTCATATTCAATTATTTGACACTGTCAAGTTTCTGATATTGAATGATAAACGACTATAAGAACGTTTCCCCGTCAAATTTTGACACTTATAAATGATACAGTGTCCAAGTAACATGGTCGGCATTGCAGATGCCGTAAAAAGTGCGTATTTAACATTGATGACGATCCCTTTTCGAGTTTAAGCATCGATGACATTGTTCTCGCGACAAAACGGCGTCGTCTTTCCTATCGACGTTCGCCAAACGGTTCTTCAACCTTCTGGCATCAGTTTTTATCTCTGGCGTTCCGGGGTCGTAAAAAATCCCGCTGGTGCTCGGTACTGCTGTATCTTTCGTCGCGACCGCGTAATACTCTTCTACATAGCGCACGCACGGGGCGTTCTCGTCTCTTTCTCGTCACAGCTCACATTGCAGGTGAGAGAGAAGAAAGAGATAGAGTTCCTTCTCTTCCGAGCGAGAGAGCGATTTGTATGCAGCGGCCCTCGTCGCCGGGAAAGAGGAGAAGCGGCTATAAACAACGCGACGCATCACCAATACCTAGGTGGAATCACGGCGGAATCGCGCATATACACGCGCGCGTTTCACGCACAATACGCAGCACGCGTCCATCGGCCGCAGGCTCCCTCGGGCTCAGGTAGATAGGTAGATACCCGGCAGACCTACCAAAGGGACAGCCGCCGACGGACGGGACACACAACTCCGCCCATCGTGCTCACCGGAAGCATATATCGCGCTCGCTGCATTCGATATGACCGTCACCGGCTCTCGAAACCCACCGCAACGTTACGATCGTTCCGGTGTGCAACCCTCGTTCTCTCTCCGCCACCTTGTCTTTCTCCCAGAATTTCCTCGTTAATCAATTATATAGATATCCCTATGGAAATTTGTATAGCTATCCGTAGAATCTTCAAATTTTAACCATCATCTATCATTGACCTCTTCTTTTAATGGAATTTTTACGGAATTTATATGAAACATAAACGAGTATTTATTCCTAAAGTTTTTAGCAAAATTTCAAGATCGTTTTCTCTCTTTTGACGCCGAAAATTATTTCGATCTTTTTAAACAAGAATTTTGCATAAAACAGTTTTATGCATGTTCTTTCTGCAAACTTCTAACGCCGCGCAATTCTTTAACTGCAAAATCAATAAGAATTATCTGTTTAATTATTTCAACATTCGAGTCTGGAAGATAATAACAATTGCGATCTAGCATTAAAATTTTCATGTAATTGTAGTATTTAATTGAAGATATACGCGCCCGATATGCGCAGTTATTTAAAGTCACGACGCAAACCTGGCGGAAACATCTTCGGCCTTTTCGTCTTCGAGCTAACAAGGAAGTTGCGGATACTTACACTGTCGGCAGTGTAAGTATCCTAAAAGCGCTCGTAAATTCTCGCCTCCTGTCGAGACGAGACGGAGATCCAGTCGCGTTCTCGCGCGTCGAGCCGGGAGGGACTCGGGCGAGTGTTTCCCCGCGTAATCGATAGTCGTCGGTACATAACGTAACGTACGGCAGGTCAACTACGGCCGTAATTTAATCGACTTCACGTTAAGGCACCGAGATCTCGCGTTGCGCCCAAGTTATTGCATCGCTCGTGCCGGATAACTCAAACATCGTTGCAACTTAATCGTCACGTCCCGCGTCGAAAACTGCACTGTTCCTTATCGATGACGGCCGGTGAGGACGAAAAAAAAGAGAGGGCGAGAATGAGAAATTTGTTCTCTCGCATTTTATAAATAAACTCGTTGGAACGAAATTACAGCGTATAAAATATAAAAAGCGAAACAGAGTCAACTAAGAATAAGTAAATAAAATATGAAACTGAGAATATATATGAGAATAAAGTTATATCTCTCATTATTATTTTTCGCAAGCAAATTTAATGCACGAAATGCAATAGATTTGCTTTGTCGATATGCACAAAAGTTCAATCTAAAAAAATGCGTAATCTACCGACAGAAAGGGAACAAGAGGGAAAAAAATTCTCCGCTAGTATTTGCCGACTTTGCGGCGCGTGCGAGTTGCAGAACTCGAGACTTAAGTTAAATTCAAGTGGCTTATGACTCTCTTACGAGTGGCTCGTAAGTTATCGACACTCGAGGTTTTTTTTCATCTCTCGACGAAAAATCCACTAGAGAACTTTCTACTTCGAATAATGGGAGGCGGTTTTTCAACATCTGCATCGTATTTTTTAGCGTATTTCCTGGCGATCATTTGAAAGCAACGATTTTCCCAACTTTTTTACAATTTTCGATATTAAACGATATTAAACGATATTAAACTAACAACTCAGTTCTCGAATAAAAAATTCTATTCAAATAAAATGATATTATCCTGATATTATCCGAGAAAAAAATTTACACATAATAAGTCAAATATCGATTATTAATTTAATTAATTAAAGATGAATAATTTATTTTAATTAAAATATATTATATTTATAATCTATAATTAAAAAATATTAGTCTTCGTTTTTAAATTCGTTGGAAGAGATAATTAAGGAAAAACAAAGGGCTCATTATCGTAAATAAGATTCCGCAGGATCAAAGTTACTCACCTCTGAGAGCTTTCATGTGTGCCACTGCCATCCTCAGGATCGTCAGCTTGTCGGGCTTGCGGGCCAGGGCTGAGCAGGTCGGCACCATGTCGGAGAGCTCGGTGATGTAGGCGGTCATCTTGTTCCGCCGCCGCCGCTCGATCTCGCAATGATTCTCCCTGCTGTAAGTCGCAAGACAAAACCGAGGTAATTACATAGTTCAAGGAACCAGTGTGCGGTTTCTCCTACTATAGCTATAAAAACGAAGCGCGAACAACGAAGCTGAAATAACGCAGAACAGCCGTAGAGACAGGAGTTTCTTGCGCGTCCTGCGCGTCGCAGGAAAATAGCGTGAAATAACGTTCGCGATACGGTATTCAATTTGCGTTAAATTTCTTCTTCTTCTTGCGTTTATTTACAATCGGCGAGCCTTGCTTTATGTGAAGTGCGCTACTTGGATTTAACTCCTACGAAATGTATCGCTGTGTCAGCATAATGTTATGTTTCAGTTTGAATATTTATTAATAATAAATAAATAATTATATATCAATAGTTTTCATCACCTTTTATAACATATTAATAATGTTGTTCATTAAATCATCACGTAAAATGTACTCATTAGCAAGCGCCTTAAGTTTTTGCATCAATATATACTATCGCGCTTCTAATTAAAACTTCACATAAGCTATGTACCTAAAATTAACTCGGTTACGGACGTCGTTGGCGCCATGATCGATTCGACCGATAAATTCTCGAGTAGTCCACCTAGACGAGGGAGGATATCGGGGCGAGACCACAATTTGAGGCCTCCCCTGTTATTACGCTACCAGAGGGTAAACCGCCGCGGGTAACGGCCAGGCACGTCTCCCTTTACCACGAGCTGCGTAATCGCCGGCGCGCAAATCGTAAATTTAATGGCATTTAATTCGCGACAATTTTCCAAGAAACTTCGCGAGGGCAGACCCCGTGCGCGCGGATCCGCACGCAACACGTAAGCCGGATTCCCGCTCGATTCCCCGATGCGCAAATCGAGCGGCGGTTTAATTCGCTATCGGCGCTACGTCCCGTTCGCGAAACCAATCATTTCGCGAAGTCAATTCTTCGTGAACCGAACCTCCCGGTCTAGCTTACGATCGATCATTTTCTGCCTGTTCTATACGACGCTCCGGAGTAAGTTAAGAGATACAAACAAATATTTGCAATTGGCCGGACCAGGCACGAAGCGAATTTTTTTATTTTATTCATTATACTTCGAGAATAAATGACTTATAACTATCTTTCCTTGTTACCCGATCATCGTATATGTGTGTATAATAACTATAGAAAGCACTTCCTGGTAGGAATTATTGTATCAACTGACATGTTCTTTATTGAACTAGGCAGTTTGATCGCTATATTTCCTGAACGGATCTCTGCCCTGAAATGGATAAGGAAGGAGATCGGTTCACGAGATGATAAAAAATTTGTTCAGTCCGTGAAATGGGTAGTTTCACGATCAGACCGTAACGTCGATAGCCTATCCGGATACACAGGGTGCGAGATTAAAATTTGATATCGATATGCTGATTGGTTTGCGCTAACTTTTTTTTCGCGGCGTCTACTCCCCGCGACTGGATAGCCGCGATATAAAATATTGAAAAATAAAATTGATCCGTTCAATGGGACTGGGCCGTGTGTCTGTGCGGACGCAGTCTGTGTGAAACGTGTCATTGTATTTCGTTATATTTATATCTGAAAATTAATTTCCTGATCTGTAATGAATTTTAATTAGAACTCTTTGGGTATCCTTGATTTGGATATAAACAGATGGAAAATTCAATTATTGAATTTTGATACGATTTTAGCTCTGTAAAAGATCGAAATATTTATCATACTTATGTAATATAATATTATAAAAATCTGATTTTATTTGCCGGTGTAAATTTACTATTGATCGGTTATGTGAAAGGCACATGCATAGATATTGCATTGTTTCATAAAATTTTCTTCTATGTAATATATGTATTCCCGAAGACGTTTTAATATAATATACATCAGATTTAATTACCTTGTCATTAGAATAATAATTGAGATTCTGAATTGTTTATTTGTTGAACGGTGAGTTTCATATATGAGGAATTATTTATTATATAACAAATCAAAACTTCAAAAGAGAAAAAAATATGACAGGTCGAAAAAGAAATCGTCATGATTCAAGTCAATGCCGATCGCCTTTCACGTCCCTCTCATTATACGATTCGGTGCAATTTTTTTCGTCGAGCTGTGCGCGCGGGCGATCGTTATCGTTATTATTATCTCGTCCCGAGGACCAAGGGAATCCGTAACGCTCGACGACGTCGTGGATGGCCCCGGCAGAGGCCCGCTATTTAAAAGAGGCCACGGCGCTTAAAGCGCAAGTATAAAGCGGAGTATGCACCGCGTGGCATGGCAAGAGAGGAGAGGGATGGAGGGGTGGAGGAACGCGATCCGTGAAGAGGAGGACGGGGAGAGAACTCCTGGGTCAGAGGTCAGACGCTCCGAAGTTGCCCGCTCGCTCCGTGGGTCCAAGCTCCGTGTACCGGGGCATACCGGGTGTCCCAGTACTACCTCACACCAGCTCCTTTCCGATCCGATCCCCTGATCCCGAAGTCGCGATACGTTTGCACTTTATTTCTTGAATAATCGATCCGTGCAAAGTTTCTTTCAACGGGGTGTAGGAACTTTTTCCGGTCAAAAGTCGTTATTATATTTCAACAAAGTATCTGCCTTTCAAACAATAAGCAATATTACAGATACACGGTTATACTTGATGAAAGAAATCGAGTGTTTAAAAATTGACGCGTGCTTATTTCTCATGTATTTTTATGTAGCTAGACGCTGCTATGTAAATGACATAATTTTGCAATAACATCTACGCTGCATAATTATAAAAGAAGCTACCCAGTTTATATCATGTTGGTTAAAGTATTATAAAATATTATAGAATGTTATAAAAGTAAAATGTACGTGTTAATAATGTATTAAATATTTTTCGTCGACGAACAGTGGCCACAAATATCATTTTTTATGAAATAAACAATACAGAAGATAATACAAAAAGCTACATAAGCTACATTTTTAATCGGCACAACAATGATTATATACGCCGACGACGATTCACAATGAACCGAGACACCGCAGTTACCACGCTATTTGATACACAGGGGTCGTCGGATGCTGAGGCGGACGACACGGTAAAAGTGCCTGATCCCTAGGCCGGGGGTCAACGCTGACCCCGTGACACCGGTCACGTTACTTGAAAAAGAGGATACTAGTTGAAGGTTGAGGTAACAGAGATCCCTTTATCCGGCGTGACTCCATTTTAAGTGTAAAATGCGACGTGTGCACGTCTCGCGGAACTTAAAACTGCAAGATAGAAACGGGAATCTAATATCGCGGACGCGCGACGCCATCTGTGCTGTTAATCAGCCATGAGAAATAAGATTGTGAGAGACGCTTAGATTGTTCCTTCCACGTCTCTTTAAAATTCTAGACTCTAAAATTCTTGCGCAACGATCGATCAAGCATCAACCGATATGGAGTTATAGTATAGCCGCTCCAGTTGTTAGAGCAGCGTCAGTCACGATCGTCGGAATAGCACCGGTACCCTCTGTACACAGGCTCTCTATGCCATGGTGATCTAATGTCGGTTCAGAAACACACACACACGCCGCACACAGCCCCACGAAGGGAAAAAATCCTCCTGCTGGTGTACACAAAGGAGAAGACAATCGCGAAGAAAGCGCGAGTTATCATCGAATTGCCTCGCATTTAGGGATGCTCGCGATGCCCACGATAGGCAGTTTGCTCTCCATACTTCTCTGACATCATCGGTTTCCGGCACGCTTTATCTTCGATATTAGCCAGATACCGGACCGAACAAACGTAACATGATTGTACGACGCTTTACAATGCGATTCGTACATGCAATTTATAACGTCTGTTCACAAGATCGTCTAATGACACTCCCCTGCCGCATATTCGACATTCCCGAACGCTCGTATGCATAAATTTATGGACTTGCGAAACAGAGTTGTAACGTCGTTACTCAATCGTATATACAATTCATTCGTTATGATTTGCCTCCCGCACCTAACTGCATCGATATGCATGAAATTAAGGATCGGCGAATAAATAACGTATTCGCTACGCCCTTGCATTGATAGAGGAATGTAGGAATAACATATATAGCAAACGGATATAAGTTATCTGTGTATTCGCATTGTCTTCGTTACTGAAAGAGGCGGACACCCCACAGCGTTATACTATATGCATCTGACTGTAACCGTATTACCTGTGATTGAGAATAAACTTTAATGGCAACGTAACTTCCTTACTTCGCATTTGCATCTTGTTTGCCTCTTCTCAATTTATATTCGGGATTCTAATTCGACATATCTTATCGAATCCCGCGCGAGTTTCTTGTAATTTTGCGACACACGTTAAAATTCGTAAAAACTGATATTCGATGCATTCACAGAAAAAAAAGTGTCAAATCAACACTCGATATGCTTGTATATACGCAAGAATATATAATCTTGAAATAAGATTATATTTGCGTTAAACGAAGAAAATTAGTGATAAACGAAGAATTATATAGTTGAACCAACGCAATATAATCTTATTTCAAGATTATATATTCTTGCATATATACAAGCATATGGAGTGTTGATTTGACACTTTTTTTTCTGTGTGTTTTTTTCTACGCGTCAAAATAAACGTTAGATAAACTTTAATCGCGATAGTTGTCCTCGCGCGTCGATTGATCCAGTAACTCTCGTTTAGCGTTCTAGTTAATTTCCCCGTACGTTCAAGCCGTTCCGCGGCTTATTACGCCATAGAAGAGGCCTTTTAATTAATTGGCCTATGAGAGCAATCTGCGCGACGATCTGCATCATGTGCTCTCTGGTAGTGGTATAGCGAGGCACCGTTGCTCTTCCTTATGTGGCGTTTAAGGCACGTGCTTTTCACTGCAGCGCGAGATAATCTCTCCTCCGTTCGAGAGCCTCCTTACGGCGATTCTGATTTCTACGAGATTCTAACATCCTCCCGTAAACTTTTGCAATTCGCGAAGACTTGATGTTATTATGATCGTTCGCCACGGTGATTTTACCGTTTTGGAATACCTCGGTTTCTCTCATATTATTTCTCTCATATTCTTTTTATTTCACACCGAAGGCTTTTCCAGATAGAATGAAAATAAAATAGCGCGCCAAAAAATTAATTAATATTACAAAATCTGTGTACCGACACGTGTTAGCTGATCGTGATGAAAAATCGTGTAATAGTGATCTTTAACTCCAATTTCTTCGCTTTACGTGTCAAGCATGAACCCAATATAAACTTTAACGACTCACAAAGTCCATGTATCGAACGTTATTTAAATCATTACCAAACTGAACGAAGACGTTATAATCGCGCGCGCGAAACGGCAGCGCGTCGAGTCATAAATTTCCGTGTAACGTATTTACTGCCGTGAACGAATAATCGCAAAAGCGCTATGTTCGCCGGACACACACGCGTTATAAACGATGTCTGTACTTGAATTTATTGCAACACCGTGTTGTCACAACCTTTTTCCAATACCTTCCCCTATATTTCTCTTTCACTTTCTGTTCCTTATATTTCTAAATGACATACTACTACGTCACATACTACTACGTCACTCGAAAATTTAGTAAGTATTAGTGGCAGTCTATTCTTTAAAACTTTATATTTAAAATTCTTATCCAATTTTTTCTTACGAAATTGCTTTTCCTACAAAAAGCTGTTTTGACTAAAAAAGAAATTCTCTCTTCAAATTCGGTATGTGTAAGTCTTCCTTTTTTAATTAATAATAACTTTTACGGAAGAAATTCGGCCGAAGTCGAGTTAAAGCGTTATGTTGAAGAGACTAGTGATATGAAGAATCACGTTTCCAAAATCCCTTAATGAGAAAATGGATCACTATTGTAGGAAGGGAAATAAAAAGCACAAGAAGGGGGAGATTCTACTCTGGGCGACCGCCGGTATGCGACAAAATTATTTCGTGGTTATCGTGGCACCAAAAGTGCCGGCACCTGCATTAATGCCGAGAAAATGCGAGGATGAGGAAACCTAAAGTGGGAGAAACAGGAAAGAGAGGAAAACGAGAAGAGGCCTAAGAGAGAAAGAGAAGTTACGGGCAAGGCGGCAAGGAGAGGCGCGCGCGTCTTGCGGCAGGAGGCAGTAATTGCGTTATTAACTTAAAAGTGAGGTTCTCCGGAGAGAGGACCGGGGGCGAGAAAGGGAGAGGGACAAAGGGGGAGGAAGAGGAGAGAGAAAGAGCGCGCGACATCAGAATGTTGCCGGTCGGTCTTTGCCGCGGAGTCCGCGTATTCTTTCGCGGCACCGTATATACCTGCGAAACGACAGCGCGGATACGGAATTGCAGGTGAACCACCACGGACCCACCCGTGGCGGCACGCGATGAGAGACCATGGATAAGATATCGTTATTGCTATTATGGCGGATCGACAGTCAGTCTTCAGATTGGCCGACGTTAAAAAATAACAGAGCGCTTTTTTCGACGAGGCAATCGACTGGATTGAAGCGAGACTTTCTATATAGATTCAAATTAGGTGATTACCAAGAATTAAACTATTTTATTGACTAAATATTATGGTTTCGCAGACAAAACATTAAGGGCTCATGCACAATGCCAGGAATAAGAAACAAGGAATTAAACATATATAGTAGTCGCATTTTTTTTCAAGACACGGAAATCTCTCTATGTTTAATTCCTTGTTAATTATTCCTCTTATTGTGCATGAGCCCTAAGACACGTAACGGAGTTTTCTTTTACAAAATAAAATTTAGTAATAAATTCTACGAACTGTGACAAACGTTTCGAACGGTATGAGCATTTAATATTTAATTAGGTGATACCGGAGTGGATCGTTATAACAAACAACTGACGATGTAGATAAACATAATATGGTACCAATCAGGTAAATCATGTGATTTCTTCTCGCGTGCATAAAATTAACGAGATGAGAAATTCCTAGCTGACCGTCTACGAACAAACAGTCAGATCGAGCAACGCGAGAACCCTCGCAAGCAATTCCGCACTATCATTTCGCAAGTATGTACTGCGAACAGCGAGTAAAAATCGTAAAATGAGAAAGAGAGAGAGAAAAAAAAGATAGAAACATGCGGCGTTCTAATCTCGTTTAGTGAAACGAAAGATGATTGCATCTCAGTTACAGAAGTATATAGAGAGGAATGTAACTTCGTTACATTTTATGTCGAATAGCTTCAAGCATACGGTGGAAATATAGTGTGCAGAAGAAGTAAACGCGAAATTTACACGAACATAAGTGTGACCATGCATATAATAGCGCGCATTAAAAACCGACGAACTCCCTGCAACTCCAGATATAAGAAGAAAAATGTAATATATTTAACAGTTTACAAATACCTAACTTTTTGATATGTTATGCACAACGAAATCTAATATAATTTTATCTCTTTCGGTTTACCGTGATATCATTATTTTGTTTAATATTTGATGTAATTGGCGTGAGTAACAAGGAAATGCGTGAGAATTTTTATAATCAATAAAAAATCCTACTTGGCATGGCTATACTCGCACGGAATCGCGTTTATACTCGGTTTTTCGAATACGTTACCTATGATCAGCTTTATACCATGATTATATCAGGTAGGGAAGCATCGTGGGCCTGGTGCTTAATAGAGACGTAACGCCATACACAGTCACGTTACACAAAGCAGGGAGCTGAGTCACGACCGATCAATGTTACACGCGGTAGGCTCAACCTCCCAATCCCTTTTTTTTTGCTTTTTGTCTATTGATCAGTCAATCAATCAAGATCGATCGTCTTTATCCGATCACGTCCGCGTGATTTATTTTCGTTTCTAATAAATGTAAGTAAAAACATGATGTTTTTTTTGTTTACATTGATATCAAGCGTCATTTAGAAAATTAAGTATCTTAAATAAAATTAAAACTTCGCTCTTTAACTACCGATGTTTGACGATTAAATCTGTCATAAAATTTTAATTAAAAAAGAATTGTATATACATGTACATCGAAGAAAAATAATAGAGAAGAGACACGCAACGTGTGTGTCTCTGCGACACGTCCCGCGTAATTGTATACACAGACGTAGAAGATTCCTCGAGGATTTTGACGTAGAGATTTTTATTCACGGCGTCCGGGGAGTAGCCATATTTTATACGTAAGTTATGCGTCTCACGTTGTACATTATTTTCCGGCTTTTGTCCGGCGAATTTAATGCCTGTGCCAGCCGAAATATCTCGGAAGGGAATCAAAGTATACCGTGTCTCTTTCGTTGTACACGGACTTGAAGGACGCGCACTCCGGCGCGCGTATAAGTACCTTATGTTCCCACGCTGGAGCAGCCTCGAGGGCTTCCCATTCCGCTATCGGCTCCTCACATTGCCCGGTATCATGTAGGTATGTATGTACCTTCTCGTACTTGAAGAAGAAGGCGTATGTACAGGGTGTACCGGTGAAACATATTGAGCCGCGGTTTCGTGAGGCGAATTAACAAATGCCGAAGAGAGAGAGAAAAGTGTCTTCGAAGGTAATTTTCGTAAGTGTCCGAATAATGTAATCGGGTTTAGTTGGCTTGAAAATGGCACGGCGAAATTGCAAAGTGGATCGAAAATAAGTGGATCGAATGGCGGAAACGTATAGTTGTTCGATGGAAATATTATTATAACGTTTGAATTGTTACAATATTAGTCGGAACTTCCATTGATTATAAAAATTCTCGCGCGTTTCCTTGTTATTCACACTATTTACATCAAATATTAAACAAAATAACGATATCGCGGTAAACCAAAAGAGATAAAATTATATTAGATTTGGTTGTGCATAACATGTCAAAAAGTATTCGAAAAACCTTTGAATAATCAATATTATTGAATTAGACCTAAACACTTACCTGGCAAATCTCTCCTTGTCCTGTACATTGTCATCGTCTAATCTCCTATATTTACAACCGCTCGGATCATCCTCATCAGATCTATAAAATAAATAAAAAAATACGTTAATTATCAGTCGTAATTATGAATCTTCGATTCATTGAATGATTCTTATTGAATGTTATGGCATTGATTATTTTAATAATCGCTTATAAATAATTCGTCAATCATTTCGACTTCATTTCATTGTCATTTAAACATTCCATGGAACGCTGTCCATTCGTAATCGTCCACGTGATAATCACTGATATTTGAAAGCAGATTAAGTTAAATGAACGGTAAAAGAATATATTCTAGGTACCAATCCATTAAGGACAAATGGCTGTCGATAGCCGAGTTCAGCACCCGAAAGGAACGAATAATAGAAATTCCGCGTGCGTCGCGTCACCGATACGTAAAGTGTAATCGCTTCCGGACTGCCAAACGTGACCGTACGTTCCAAAATTGGTCAACGGTAGGATCGTCGCCGGCCTTTCTCCCCCCTTAAATCTGGAGCGCCCGTAACAGTAAGCGACGACGAGAATCTCATGCGCGATATTCACACTCATTCATTCGACCGGCTTTTCCATTCAAGTTATATCGTTGGATCATTATGATCATTAACAAGATCTTTCGGAAAGAAGAGCAACAATCAGTTATCATTCAGTCATATGACATATTACACGAAGAAATTCCAGATATCTCTTTCAATTCGCAATCGTAAGTTCCATAATATAAAGCTATTTTTGGCCATTGTTATCATAACAAGATCTCTCAGATAGAAGGATAACAGCTGATTATCATTCAGTTATCTGATGTAAAGAAATCACGTAAAGAAATTCCAGATATCTCTCTTAATCCGTATCGTCAGTTCCATACGAACTGACGATTATAATACCAATATACGATATAATATAAACATACAATAACAATTAATTAATTAATTATTCATCAGATTCTATGTACATGTATATTTAATCTCTGAAAAGATTTAAATAAGCGCGCGATATCGCGCTTTGAATTCGCCGAAGAAACCCGGGAGCGAGAGCGTTTACGAGTCCTCGCTTTCGGAGGACGGTGAGAGAGAAGAGGGACGGAGATAGATAAATCGGGGATCGATAAATCTGTCACCAATCGTCTCATTACCGGTGTAGGAGAGCGTGTGTACCGTCGTCTCTATACCGAACGCGATAGAAAATTATGCTCTCATTGCGAGAGCAGAGAGCTCCACGCTCGCGCGCAGAAATCCGGCCGATCGTCAGTCTTGTATTGCACAGCGCCCGCGCGGGTGATGTACGATTCTGACCCTGAGCGAAAAAGCGAGACCCCTTTACTTACCGGCGCCCCTCCACCCGCCGTTCCTCTGCTTCGCCCTATCCCGCCCGTACCCCGCTCGTGCCCCTCCGCGAGGCTCGCTCACCGGTGAACGTCGCGTTGAAGAGACGGTGTACGGCCTCTCTACGTCCCCTCCCCCCCTCTTTCGTTTCCCCGTCGCAAAGTCCATAGGACCCAACGGATCCGAGGTAGGGATGGTGTAGGGCCCGGCAGTGAGTGTATCCGGGTATCGCAAGCGCGAGGAGGCTTTGAGGGAGAACCCCCCTTGCTCCTCCGTCTCCCTCTCCGTCATCTTCCTGCGCGGGAACCTTCTCGGTTCCCTTCGTCCCCACGTTCTCCGCGTTCCTTTTTTCCTGCTCCTTTTCCTCCTCGCGAGAGAGCGAGAGGAATGGAGAGAAAGAGCTAGAGAGGGAGAGAAAAGAGAAGGAGAGGGGGAGTCGCGGAGACTTATGGAGTACATAATGATGCGCCCCGCGGTATTACGTCGACTTAACGGACGCGTATGCGTGCTTCGCAAGCGATGAAGTCGACGACGTCGAGAGGTATTCGCGGCGGGCGGGCAAAGCCTCAGGGCTGAAGTTTTAGAAGAAGAAAAAAGAAATTGTCGCGTACGCAAATCGATCGTGAACGTTCGCTACGATTAAAGAGTGAAACTATTTCCGCATCCAAGGTACCTATCTTAGATATCTCGTTCGTTATTTTTCAATTGCATTCAAATTTATAATATTTCCGTCAACTCTCTCTAAATGAGGTACGTCGATTCTGCGTACCAGGTGTTGCTTTAATTCAATCCACATCCGCTGTGTACAAAATCCTTGGCTTACATCATAAGCGAATATGAGGAAAATAAAGCTATAAATTTCGACCCCCCTGCCCCTGTCCTGGAGCGAGAAAAGTATCCGAGGTAGAGCAACGATAAAGTGAAAATTATGGGGGAAAAAGGCAGCCGAAGGTGAGAAAGAGATAAATGTGTGACAGGGAGATGTATGAAGCGCATAATGATGCGCAGCGCAATATCACGTCGACTTAATAGGTGTTTCGCAAATAGAAAATCGCGCGCAGTAGGCTTAGCGACTCTATTCGCTACGGGATTTATTTACGACGAACGAGGAGAGTACAGTTTTTCAATACCTAATGTCTATACACGCTATTAAAATAATCTCAAGAATATAATTGCAACTTAAAAATTGCATGGAAAAAAAGGATCGATTTTATTTTATCAAAACGGTTTAGCTTAATTACGATTAAATCACGATTAAGATTGCGTCAATTCCTTATTTAACCTTTACGAAAAGGGTACTGTTATTTATGATATGATTATTATACTGTCAGATATTAGTTTGTAATATATAGATATTTGACATGTATTCTCTTTTACGGAGCGTAATGCAAGTATTAATATATAATTAAATGTCATGTTCAACATATTCTATGATTGCATGTTATATCGATAAACATGTATAATATTAGTGATTGCTGATCAGAAAATTCCACCAATTACTTCCACCAATTCCACCAATTCTCGGCCAGAAAAACTCTTGCCACTAATTTCATCACGTTTCTTTCTCTGTAATTTTACAAGAGTAAGAATATAATTATGGAATTATTTTGATATGTATATAATGAAATTACATTGTTAAATAAAGCTTCAGCAAGGCAAGCAATGCGTTAAATCGTAATCTTTCGATTTATTTCAACTAAACCTTTTTTTTGGGGGGGAAATTAAAAAATTATTAAATAAATTTAAATCTGCATTCACATCGGCGAATGCATTCCTGAGATTGGATGCAAATCCGAGAGAGAAGGTACGCAGCTTTGACGCCGCTCTGCCATTACGGTAGTTTGACCTTTGACACGAAGGCGATTTGGGCAGTCCAGTTCGGAATTTCGGCGGCGCCGATTGAAGAACTGGACACAGACGCAATGCACAGTTACGGTGAAAGGGTTGCTCTCTCTCTCTCGTTTCATGTTCTCCACGTGCATTATAAGTAGACCCCGTAACGCGATCGAGGGGGTCAGGGCAGCCCCCCCCCCCGCTCTATTTCCCTGTTTACGCGCCTCGGAACGCCCGATAATTTGTATACGTCGCGAAAACCGTGGGAACAAAAGCGCCGATACTTAGGTGTACGCGGCGATCGTTATCTCCGCTATCGGTATATACCGTCGTAAACTGTCGTGTCTTTTTAATGTAGCTGTGTTGCGCGGGAATAACGAACCGTCGCTCGAGAGAGCGGACACATGTACCCGCTATTGCAATACGCGCATACGCGGATACGATGCATTTCCGTTTATAAAGAATTAATAATTTAGCGAGACGATAGCCCGCGAATGTTCAAGCTGTTTGTCATATATAACGAAATGTGATGTCTGCTATTAATTTTTCCCCATTGATAATTAGAAGATATGAGTGTATTTAATTCGAATATATGCGACTTTATAATATGTGATTGAACATAATTATTTAATAGCGGCGAACAATATTATCTGACAATAAACGTTTACAATTCGATAATAACAGCATAAATATTTATGGAATATTTAATAAATAAGATCGACATTTTGAACCAATAATTATTTACTTAAAAGTAAAAAAATATTTTATAACCAAAAATAAAAACATTTCGAATTATTGCACTGACTAATATTATTGTAGTTAAATAAATGTTTTTCAATTATGCTAAATAAGCGATGTTTCTGCTAAATTTTTTATAATTATGAATTTATTTATATCTTAGTTATTTCAATCAAAAACACAAGTTTTACTTAAATTCTCATATTAATTATTAATCGTAAAAAGATACATGGTTACATTAAAAAAATTCACATTATTAAAAAAAAGTTGACGGACACTGATCATCATAAAGATGCACGTGTTTCTGAGTTCTGTCGGCAGTTTTGCACCTTTCTTCTTAAAGAGTCAGAAAAAAAATACGATACTCTTGCGAAGAAGAAAAAGAAGAGGAATTCGTGTGACGTGTCCAGTTTACGGTGGCACCTTTTTGCATTTTTCCGTATGGCGCCAAAGTCACGACTTGACCCTGTCGTCTCCCTCTATCCCAACCTTCTTTCGTCCACGATCGCACTTTTGCATTTACGTTCGTCGTTCCTTAAGGTTCACGTGTTACAACTACTCTTTTTACACGACGCCAAATGTATATCCAAGTACCTCCTAAGAAAGAGAAAGTACTCTATTTGGTACAGAAAGGCAAGATGATATTAGATGCTTAATATCTAAGCATCTATTAATTAAATATCTATTAATTAAATTGTTAAGATAATACAAGTCATAATTTTTCAGTTACAAGAGATAAAATTTGCATAAAAATTTCCATAAAATACGTACTTCAATCGTGTTATTTTTCTCAATTTTGCATGGCCATAAACTCGAATGTATATCAATGAAAACAGAAAACACGGAAGAATCATTTTCGTTTATTTTATAAATCTGTCTGAGTTTCACGCGTTCAATTCGGAGAAGGATCGCCGGACGATTTTTAGCGAGCAAAGAAACGGAAGAGAAAAATAAGGGAAGAAGAGGAAGATCTCAGTAGTGCGATGCATCCTGATCGATCGCGGGCCGTGGAAAATCGTCACGGTGATCGGCGACGACGAGGGTCGGCAGGAGCGATCGAGGAGGTGGTGACCAATAAGGTCGCTGGAGAACGGATAAGAGTCGCGGAGTCGAAGAACGATGGACCGCCCCTCGCTCCGGCGGTAGTGCGCGAGG